TTTTTTTTTTTTTTTCCTCTTCTCTGCTTATCTTAATCAAAAACTTGAATGGAAAGGTGCAACAAGGTCATCACTAACCCTTCAGGACATTGTCCTGGCAATCCAGAAACCTGAGCTGAAATAAAGAAATAATGAGAAAGTCAATATTTTAATGCACAGGTCATATTTTATTTTATGTCATTGTCTCCCACAGCTCTTAGCCCACATTTCTGAAAAACCAGATCTGGAATAATGGGGCTTGTGATCACCATGAAACATCAGGTAACAGATTACTTTCTGTACCTAAATATTTGTGAGAAGAGTAATGTGCCCTAATTCACCCTAGAATAAGAAGCACATTTCTTTCCTTTCTCCAAATCAAATTTTATATGCTCCAAGCCTCCACCTGGCAGTATGTTCAATCCCAATTATCGTTATAACCAATGCCCCACCCCACAGCCCTATGAAGACCTGTTGATCTAACTTAGTCCAGCCCCATAAAAGCCCTCTGGCCTTTAGTCCACTCTGCTACTACAAATAAGCTCCTATCCAAGCTGGTGTGGCTGCTCATCAGCCAGCAGTTCTGCCCGTAGTTGGGGCTTAGACCTTCTTGCTATGGGTAGGTGTCTTTGAGACGGCACCAATAACCAACCAAGTAGGATGCCCTCCCACCACTCCAGGAAGGGCAGAGGCCCCGGATCTTTTCACTCAAGGATCCTGCAGAGCCTAATTCATTTTTCTGTCTTAAGGAAGGCTCTCAGCAATCTCCTATGTCACTACTTAGCCCTTCCTTCTCCCCAACTCTAGGGCAATTCAGCCTTATTCCCCTCTAAGGTCAAGATCTGGAATGGTTGTTTTCTTGAGTCTAAGAATTGTTGCTTTCTGCCCTGCCACAGTAGCCCTGTGAGACAAGTGATCATGCAGGGACTCCCACCACACACACACACCCCAGGAAATCGGAGAACAGGAAACAAAGGGAAAATACTCATAATCATACAAAACACTATGTGGAACATTCAAAGAATAGGACTGGGGGTGTACCTCGCTGGTAGGGTGCTTGCTTAGGATGTGTGAGACTGGGTTTGACGCTCAGCACCTCAAAAAAAATAAATAAATAAAAGAACAGAAATAACATAAATGCCCGCCAATGATTAAATAAATGTCCCTGTTAATGAACAAAAATATAACTTAGTTTAAAGGTTTTTATTGGCTTCATTTTCAGGTCTACAATTCACAAGACTTCATTCCATAAAATAGAATAAATGTGATGGAGTAATAGCAAAGTTTAGTATAATAGAGAAATTCTGAAAAAAGCAAAAACAGAGCAAAGAGAGAACTGGCTATTTCAGTTACTTTCCTTTAAAGATTGAGACAGGGAGACAGAAGAATAGGAAAATAACTGGCTAATATCAGATTATATCAAGTTAATTTTTGTAAAGTTTACAAAATTAAAGGACATAAGGATTAAAGCAGAGGGAACTTCACTGTCATGACAATGAACCTGCTTGTGAAATATAGGTATGTCTCATTCTCTTGATTTTTCAAAAGGTCAGATAACACCTCAGTGTCAGTCTCATTATATGGAACTTTAGCATGAGTAACTCCATTTTACTTTTTAGTTTGAGGTGCTGGGGTCAAGTGCAGGATGAGCTTAGTTTGAAACAACAGCCTAGTCTAATTTTATTAACACATCCGGACAATGGAGTACTGTGGAACTGCTGTGGCCAAAGAGGGCCACAACAATATTTTCCATCTCACATGCCCTTCAGACAATGTGGCATTTCTTCCATTGTAACTTCAAGTCTATTTTCTTCACCTTGAAAGTGAACAGGCTTTTATGACTCTCAATAAGAGACTGCAATAGAAAGAGGTTGTATGACGCTTGAAGCTAGATCATAAAAGCTGACACAGCACCCTTTATCAGCTGAGTGACTGGCCTTCAGCTGCCATTTCAGCTCAGAGTACCCTGAGCCTGGGTGTGTGAGGAAACAGGACATGGCCCGTGACTACTATAAGGGAAAGAGCAGTCCGGATAGCTAGAAGCTGCCTCAGCCCCTATTTCTGTCTGAACTCGAGCTACTCTCTAGTCACCCTGCAGCTCTAAGACAGACTTAAGGCTCAAACCACTTAGAAAGGCTCTTACCAAATCCCTGACCAACAGAAACTTAAGAAAAAAAGTTTTAAGCCACCAAGTGATTTACTTTGCAAAAAAAAAGCCGAAATGAAGCTTTCTATTTCCTGATATGCAAATCTTAGGGTATAATATTTTTTAAAGTATGGATTAGTACATACAACATGCCCCCTTTTTAACAGTATTTATTAGGTGCCTCTTTTGTTTAAAGATACATGTACAGTTTTGTATATGCATAGAAGAGAGGTTTGCCAACTTCAGGTATAGTTAACAGTCCTTGAGGGAGCCCGAACCTGCTCTATACCAATTAAGTCAATATCTGGGGGTGGGAAAGCAAACACGGGTATCTTTTAATTTTCCCCCAAGAGATTCTAATGTGCAGCTGCAATTGAGACTGATGGTACTGAATAAACACGGGAGGCAAAACAGGAAACAGGCGCTGTGTTGCCTCTAGAAAGGTATCCTTGAGTGAGGCTGGAGAGAAGGAAAAGGTTTACCTTTCACTGTAAACCTTTTGATATATTTTTATTATTATGATTTGGTTCTGGGGCTCCAACCCTAGTGCCACCACTGGGCTACATTCCTAGCCCCCCTCTGATCTTTTGAATGTATTTACTTGATTTTTATGTTACCTATTTCCAATGAAAATTAATTTTAAACTATTTTTATTTTTTAATTTTATGGAAAAAGGTAAAACAAAATTTCATAACAAAATAATAGAATAGTAATACACTGCATTTTGTTATCTTTACAGTAGTCATTCAGAGTGCAAGATATGGCCATTAAAATTTCTCCAATCGATATTAGTGCAAGCCTTCCTTTTCAATAAGCTAAGAGACACTAACAGTATAACTGACTTGCATTGTTTTCCCTTTTCTCTTCCATCCTTTCCCCTTTCTCCTATCCTAGATCCTTTTTCCTTTTGAATAATTTCTTCCCATTTCACAATATCTCTTGTACATTTTAGACTTTATTTACTCTTTCAGTTTCTCACACCAGGGAGACATACGATGTTTACACATGTAAGTCTCATTTGTTTCACTTATGAGTATGGTCTCAAGTTGCCTCCACTTACCTACAAATGTTTCAAGTTTATTCTTCTTTATGGCTGAGTAGTACTCCATTGTATAAAAATACCACATCATTTTTATCCATTCCTCAGTTGACAGGCATTTGGGTTGTTTCCAAGATTTAGCTATTATAAGTTGCTATAAACATGGGTGCACCTATCTTGGGATACTGCTATAAACATGGATGCTGTGGTTTGATATTTTTAATTCTTCTGGGAAGATATCTAGAAGGGGAATACCTGGGCTGAATGTGACCTCTAATCCTAGCTTTTTGAGTAATCTTTGTACTGATTTCCATGTGGTTGTACCAGTCTGCACTCCCACCAACAGTGGAGAAGGGTTTCTTTTTCCCCACACCCCCTCCAGCATCTGTTATTGGTTGATTTCGTGATGACAGCCTTTCTTTCTTGGGTGAGATGGAATCTCAATGTTGTTTTAATTTGCATTTCTAGATTGACCAATGATACTGAACATTTTTTCATATATTTATATGCCATTTGTATTTCTTCATCTGAGAAGTGTATATTCATCTCAGATGCCCATTTCTGGATTGGGTCTTTGAATGGGGGGGGTCTGATTTTTGAAAATGAATTTTAAAAGAAGAAACAATAAAACATCTGTAGCAGATGTTTATCAGTAGCAGATGTTTATCTATAGTAGATGTTTATCTGTAGTAGGTGTTATCAGAATAGCCCATCACACAGTGGGAGTCAGTCCAAAGTCCAGTGAGGCCTTAGTCAAGTGGTTGTCTCATCTGGGAAGAATGAATGGGTGGTCAGAAGTGCTAAGGAGATCCACCCTGATGTGGTCCCTAACCTGAAATTACTTCTCTGCTGGCCTACAAGGTCCCAGGTTAATACATCATTAGTTACTCTTGGGTAAAGCTGTTTGGGACAGAGTAATGACTATAACATGTGACCCTCAAGTTGCTGATCACCCCTATGGACCCTGAGAACAACAGGTGGGAAAATGCTCAGGCTTAGAAAGGAGGGGCAAAGAGCCTAGCTGGTAGGCTGGTGACCTGCTGTTATCAAAGAAAAGCAGATTATTAGCCAGCTCTCCATAAGCAGAGCGTTGATTATCCGTTTCCCCCTTTAGAATGCTGGAAAGACACTGTATCAATGAAAGTAAGATAGGAATGACAGACCAAAATCCAGCTGCATGGCCCCTGCCAATGTTGTGGAGGCACAACATGAACACCTGGGATGATGCTTGGGAAGGAGCAGCACCAATGGTTGGCCCAAAGCTCCATCTCCGGCACCTTCCTCTGGCCCTGGGGCATAGCTGAATGTTCTTAGCTTCAGACACTGGACAGTTCCCAGTTAGAAATCCATCTCCATCTCACCTCAACATCCACTACTTGGTGAGTAATAATATCCTGAACTTCAACTTCTGTATCTGTAATGCAAGTTAATATACATGGAATAAAATGTTTAACAGTCTCTATCGGTATCTATAATATGCAGGGATGCAGACAAACTCTTACATTTGATTAATAACTAATAGAGGAAAGATGTTCTCCTTCTTTACCAGGAGTTTGACAATCACGGGTAGCTACCCTCTCCACCCTACTTGCCCACCATACAAGATGTAGCCAATTGTGGAAGGGCTGGCCTAAAGAAATGACGAATCTTTGTTGAGACCTGCAGAAATTGTAAAACACATACAGCATGACTGAGTAACCACCTTGAGCACTCCTGGGGCAGGAAGGTGCACACCAGTACAGGAACACCCATGACCACCTACAGAAGCCACCCTCAGTCAGCTTCCAGCAGAGAAGCACTTCGTGATAGTAGCCCCCCTTTCGTGTCATTGAGTCAGCTTTCTGAATAAAATTGCCTTCCTTGCACCAACACCCTGACTTATTGGCAGGTAAGCAACCCGACCTGAATTCCTGTAACATTCTGATTTCTGACATGGTGTGTGACTGGAAACCCTGAATCCTGGGTGGCAGAAACTTGAGCTCAATCATCTCTAGATAAGAAACCGAGTTCCTTATTTACATGACTGTTCTAAAGAGGAAGAGAAGAAAAGGAAGCAAATCATGCTTCCTTCCCAGGGTAAAGAGGTTCACTGGAAAGGGAAGAAAAGGAGTTAATCACGCTTCCTTCCTTTTGCCCCATCTACTGGGTCCACCCAAGCTGCAAACAAGGGTAAGGAACGTACTCCATCAAAGTGGCCAGTTCAGGGCAGATAATTAAACCAGGACGGCACGATTGGCTAGGACTGGCTGGTTATTTTTACATGGGAATTCAGGGTTGAGCTGTGAGGAAGGAGAAGCAACCAGTGGTTCAACCTGGCAGGCAGGTTACTAGAAGGGGAGGGCAGTGGGAGAGGAGGTGTAGGGTGGGTTTGGGGAAAACTAGCTCTAACAGGGCAAGAGCTGTACCATAAGGGGGTCCGAGTGCTTCTCTGTCTCTCTGTCTCTGTCTTCTTCTCTCCCTCTCTCTGCGATTCGGTCTCGCTATGCAGTTAAGACTGACCTTCAACTTACTATGTAGGCTCAGGCTGGCCTCGAACTCAAGGCGATCCTCCTGCCTCCGCCTCCTCCCTAATATTACATCTGCCCTACACTCTCCGTCACATGCCGTGAGAACTTACTTGGCGGATGCCGCTAGAGGAGCAGTACCACCCTAACCGGCCGCGTGGCTCCTCGGTCTGGACAGCCAATCGTGACGAAGAGAAAGGATAAGGGGCGGCACCCTCGCCGGTCTGGGCTGAGTCATTGGCTGACGGCCGCGTCGCTCTCCCGCTGGGCCACGTGACTGCCACGGCCGCGGGCTTTCCCACCGGCCTGTTTTCCGCACCTTTCGGCCGGTTCGCCTACGCCCCTCTCCGTGCCGCCCGGCCTGGCCCCGCCTGGTGCGGGAGTGAGGGCGGGCAATGGGCGGGGAAGAACACAGGTCGGTTAAAGAGAGGCCCGCGGGGGGCCGGCCTCCTTTGCAGGCGCTTCGGTGTTTCTTCGGTCTGTTGCGGAGGACGCGCTGCGGACCTAGTGCTGGGGCGGGCTGGACCCAGGAGGTGAGAAAGGGGCGAGAATGGCGAGCGGGCCGCCCTTTGGGTCGTCCTGGTCTCAGGCCAGGCGCTTTGCGAGGAAACCATGACCAACCGTCTCCCCGGCCGTCGTGGCCGGGCGGCGGAGGTGGGCGTGTGTCTGGGCTGTCCCAGCGCGCAGAAGCGGGGGCGGGTAAAGCGCCACCCCCAGCCCGCGGTCGGGCCGCCCCGGGGCCTGAGGACTGCTCTTCCTCCACCCCAAACCCTCGCAGCTCGCGGATACCGAGCTGCCGTCGCGGCCGAGCGTTTCCTGAGGGTCCTGAACCCAGACAGCTGCGGGCCGGCCTCCGGAGGTTGGAGCCACCACACCCTTGGACAGATGGGGAAGCCGACCTGGAGAGGACAGAGCACTGGGTTAACTTGACTATTAAAAGCAGGCTCCTGGCCAACAACAAACTCGGGACCTGTACTTCCTTCAGACGCTTAACTCTCACTTGTTACATGGGGACACAGAGTACGCACAAAGGACCAGCTCCTTGCGTGAAAGCGCAGAGCAAGTCATTTGCAGAAGGACTTGCACCAGCTCTCCTAAACTTATAGAATATCAGGTTGGGCCCTTTCCTAGTGCAGAGTGGGACTCACTAGTGAGTGAGAAGCATTCAGAACTTGAACTCCTTTCTGGCATCCATTCTAGTACCGTGTTTTTCCTTCTTTGTCCCTATGCTCTTTGGTATGTGTGTGTGGTGGGGGTTGCTGGGCATGGAACCCCCCAAGGCCTTTGCAGGTGCCCTACAATTGAGCGACCTACCCCCTATCCCTGCCCTGTTGGTCTTTATGTGAAATCTAAGAATAATGTGATACACATTATTGGGTTAAACAGAAATTTATGCTTTTGAAAATTGGATCCATAAGAAGTGGAGAGTCAAAGCTTTGAGGAAAGAAGTGAGTTCATCTCCCCTAATCAGGAACCCCAACGGTTTCAAGAAACAGACCAATAGTTACCATCTTTTGAGTAAATGTTATGTGCTAGATACTTTACTTGTGTTTGCCTCACAACAATCCTGCAAATTACTTGGTAATGTTCTCTCCATTTTACAGGTCAGAAGTTGATGCTGAAAAATTCTCACATGGTTCCGTGTAGCTGCTGAGCAGTGTATCTGGATCTGAATAGAGATCAGATGTGTCTGAATTCTGGAACACACCTACAGATTCTCCAAGTATGACCCCCACTAAGCTTGCTAGCTCAGCTTCACCTAGGATGCAGAGGCTGGGCTCTCATCTTTGGATTTGCAGGGGCAGGTCTAAGAATGTGCTTTTTTTTGTACTAGGGTTTAGACCTATAGCCTTCACATCTACAACCCTTTTTTTATTTTTTTACTTTGAGACAGAGTCTCACTCAGTTACCCAGGCTGGGCTTCAACTTTTTGTCCTCTGCCTCAGCCTCCCAGAGTGCTAGGATTAGAGGCAGGGACCACTGTGCCCACCTCAATCTGCATATTCTGTATTTGGAAATCATTGTGTAATATGGCCAAATCCATGTGCTGCCTCCTAGCGGAAGATCTAGAGATGAGTATATTCAGGGTTTTTGATCCTCAAGTTCTGTTTACTAGGGGTAATTTTTGAGACTAGTTATCACAATTTAGAGAGATGCTTGCCAAATTATAATTTCTTGGCATAAACTTATTTTCCTCCTAAATATCTTATTATTTTGCCTTAGATTGGGCTTAGTGTTAGAAATAGTATGTGGTAATACATAACCGATACAAGCCTTGTGGTGGTTCCTATGCATTACAGAGATAAATGAACGTTAATTACTTGTGATAACCAAAAAATAAGGACGTTTTCTTGTCTTTGTTATATTTATTTGAAACTTTATTGTTTCCAGGATAAACATAAAGGTACCCTTACATACCAAGTGAGAGCCACCTAGTTTGGTGGGTTATATAGCAACAAGGATGACTTGGTACCTGCCTATAAGTGTACTGTAGTTTTAAAGACTTGTTAATGTACATGCCAAATTGTTGTAAATAATATGTTGGTGAAGCAAAGCCAAGAAATTTAAGTCTCCTTTATCCTGTGGCATTTAAGATGAGCCATGTAGAATTAGAAAAAGGACGAAGAGAAGTGGGGGGGCTGAGGGTGTAGCTCAGTGGTAGAGTGCATGCTTAGCATATTGAAGGGCCGAGATCCAACTCTCCATCACCCCCCATATGTACATAGATGGATGGAGATAGCAGGAAAAGGCATCCCCAGCTGAAGGCACAACAAGAGTAAAGGTGCAGGGAGACAAAGGCTGCGTAACATTTTCATAGACTGGTGATTGGAACATTAGTACAAGGAAGCAAGCAAAAAAGAGGCAGTTATGGGCGTATTCTTAGAAGACCAGAGGGAAATGTTTAGACCAGAGGTCCTATGCACTTACGCCACAGCAGGCTGTTGTATCATTGAAAGCTCTTAACAGGTTCGCCATAGCTGGTTTGGACTGTTTAGTAGGAGGTAGGGAGCCACTGAGGTTTGTTATTGTTATTTGCTTCTTTGTTTTGGTAGTACCGGGGATGGAACTCAGTGCCTTTACACTGAGCTCCTCCTCAGACCTTTTCATTTTTCACAATTTTGAGACATAATCTCATTTAGATTGTCAAGGCTGAACTTGAACTTGGAATCCTTCTGCCTCAACCTCCCAGAGTGCTGAGATTACAATCAGGTGCCGCCACTGTCAGTTGCTGCCACTGTCAGCTGCCATAAAGGTTTTTGAGACACATCCAAATAGTTGATCTGGTATTATTAGTGATTGCTTCTTTTGAAGAAGACAGATAGCATAGTAGTTAAAACATGTAAGATCAGTGTAGGTTTTAGGCTGAAGTGTTACCATATGATGAATTTAGCAGATAAATTCCAGGCTCTTTTGTCTGGTGGACAGAGAATTGCAAATACTCACCCATTGGTAAGTGAAAAGCAGCTACATTTATTCAAGATCACGGAAAGCTGTGCTGAGGGCAAGTCTTTGCTGACAAAAATATGGCATGGTGCCGGGATGACTGGAAAGCAAAAGTACTATACACAAAACACAGTACCTAGCAGCCCACAGATAAATCTGGCTTTTAGAATTTAAAGGTTGTGGGCTTTAGCCCAGGAGCCTCACCCCAAATCTTTAGATATGATTGACAGGAATGATTAACTGAGTGCTGTGTCATCTTAGTGGCTCTCAACACCCATACCTGTCCCAGAATCCACTCTGCTCTTAATTACACCTATAGCTATAGTGCCTATTCATGAACCCTTAATAAGGTTTGAATAGGGTAAAGACTGAAAGTCAGGCTAGGAGATCCCAGAGCCTGTGCTGTGCTCTTGCCTAGAGTGTCAGAGATCTGGGTTTTTATTGTTATTTTTTTACCTCTCTCTTTTTTTTTTGTCTTTTTGAGACAGGGTCTCGCTATGCAGTTCAGGCTGGCCTTGAGCTCACTTTGTAGCCCAGGCTGGTCTCAAACTTGCAACGATCCTCAATCCTCATGCCTCAGCCTCCCGCGTGCTGGGATTACAGGCATGCGCCACCACGCCTGGCTTTTTTACCTCTCTTAAGACAGTGGAAGGAGAAATGGCCGTATGTTGCTGTTTAAAGTTAAACGAGTGATAAGGCCAGGCACGGTGGCGCATGCCTGTAATCCCAGCACTCAGGAGGAAGGAGGATCCTGTAAGTTCAAGGCCCGCCTGGGCTACAGAGTGACTTCTAGGCCCACCTGAACTGCATAGTGAATCCTGTCTCAGAAAGACAAAAAGAAGAAAAACGGTGAGAGGGAGTGACTTCCTGAGCTCCATTTTTCTAACTGTACTAGAAGTACTGTATATCTTAGCTTTCCCATAGTTTAATAGTTCAGAAAAACTGTACATATGGAGAGAATATGCAAAAGAGCAAATGCAGTACAATATGGACAGTTGTCAAATTGTTAGGTTGTTAAATAGGTGAATTGTGAGTATACAAACATTCCATGTATTTGTTGAACTTTCTGAAGATTTTTAAGAAGCTTCAGAATAAGCAGCCAGGAGACAGAGTGTAGGATTGAATCAGAGGCTTGTGTTGAAGCCATATTTCTGCTCGTAAGTATGTGAGTACTGGAAAATGGTTTTCAAACTGCAACAGTTCATTCCTATTATACCTGTTCCATTCTACTTTAGATTTTTGGTTGAGGACTTCTTCACTAATGTGAGGATTTTAAATCTTCTATACACTTTTGATGTCTAGGTTATTTTGCGGTTGACTCCAGTTTTCCAGTAATAGCTAATGATATATACACATAAAGAGTTAGGCATAAAAGTCCTAATATATGAAAATGGTTAGGGGTCAGCATACGTGGGTTGTAGTTCTAGCTCTGCCTTAAATGATTTCACTATTGTAAACCTTTATTCCTGTGCTACAAAATCTGAGGATTGTATTTCATGATTTCTGTGAGGAAAAAGGAAAAGAAGAAACAGGTGCGAGCTCAACAGGACAGGTTTATTTCAGAACACACCCGAGAAGGACCTCTCCGGCACTAGAGACCAGAACTGCTGCTCTCATAGAGGGTATGGGATCTTTTGTAGGGTCACCGGGAGCGGGGAGTTCAGCGAAAACAGGGTGTAGCTACTTGCCAAGAACAAGGCTTGAGAGAGCACAAGTGATAATGGTTTCCATGGATGAGAGGTGCAGGGAACAGTGGCTACTCGCAGTAGTATCTGATTAGTACTATGTCATCATATGTATCCATTGAAACTACTATATTTGAAGACCAAAATGTATCATACTTTAAATATTACAAAAGGAAGTTAAACTGCTCAAAAACTCTCTCCCAAAGTTAATTTTATTTATTTGGGAGTTTATGAAATACATTTCCCAAGGCTACCTAACTGTATTGAAAACAAAATGATTATGTAACGTAATAAATTCTAACTAGATCTTTTCCCTTCTGACAAGAATCAGTGTTATTTACAGCTTTATTGTGGGATACGGAGCATGCAGTAAGTTACACATATTGAAAGATATTCCTGGGACTCCAACACTCTAGGAGGCTCAATAAGGAAATTTCAAGCCCATCCAGGGGAACTTAGCAATTTAGTGAGACCTTGTCTCAGATTTTTACGAAAGGAAGGGGATACAGTGAAGGCCTTGGGTTCAATCCCCAGTACCACAAGAAAGGGAGGTGGAGTGGGAAGGACTTTTTCTCTTTTTCCCTTTTCATATATGTATGTATTGCTGTGGTCGAGATGATAAATGTACCCAACACTCTCAAAGTTTTCTATGCTTTTCTAAAGTCTCTTCCATCCTTCCTACTTCTTATATTTACTGGAACAACCACTGATCTGCTTTCTATCACTATAGGTTAATTTGCATTTTCTGTAGATGGAATCATATAATACATACTCCTTTTTTGTCTGGTTTTCACTCAGCAAAATTATTTTGAGTTATTTAACATCATATCAATAGTTTATTCCTTTCTATTTCTAAGTAATATTCCATGTAAGAATATAGCACAATTTGTTTATTGTTGAACATTTGGGTTGGGGCTATTACAGATAAAATTCCTTGGTCTTTTTTATGCCTTTGATGCCTGTGTTCCTTAGAAATGTGTTATTTGTTTTTCAATTACAGTATTTGGGGATTTTCCAATATTTTATTTTCTAATTTAATTCTGTGGAAGTCAGAGACTATATTATGTATGAATTGGATTCTTTTAAGCTTATAGAGAATTATGTTTTCCCTTGGTATATATTTCATACTCACTTGAAGAAAATGTATATTTTTTCTATTATTGGGTATAATGTCTTAGCTTTACTATATATGTTCCAAGTGGATCTACAGTGTTCAAATCTTGTAAATCCTACTGATTTTCTTTCTTATTCAATAAATACTGAGAGAAAGCCATTCAGTTCTCTGGTGATAATCATGGATATTTGTCCTTGTATTTTTTGCTTGCTTTTGATTCATTTATTTTGGAACTCTGATGTTAGGTGCACAGTTAGGATTATAATGGTTAAGTTTTCTTGAAGAATTGGCCCCATTATCATTTATAAAATTGTCCTCTTTTCCCTCAAATCTTCTTTATCTGATGTTAATATAGCTATTCCAGCTTTCTTTTGGTGCATGTCAGCAAAGTATATCTTTCCTTATCTTTTTACTTTTGTTCTATTAGGTCTTTATGCTTTCTTTATACTTAAGTATGTTTCTTGTAGGCTGCATGTAATTGGGTCTTGCTTTTTTTTTTTTTTGACTTTCTGAGACAGAGTCTCGCAATGCAGTTCAGGCTGACCTTGAACTCACTTTGTAGCCCAGGCTGGCCTCGAACTTGCAATGATCCTCCTGACTCAGCCTCCCGAGTGCTGGGATTACAGGCGTGTGCCACCACGCCTGGCTTGGGTTTTGCTTTTTAATCTAATCTGACAGTCTGTGTGGGGATATTTATTTATTTATTTATTTATTTAGTGTGGGGGGTGATATTTAGACCATCATGTTTAAGGTAATTGTTGATGTGGCAGTTATTGATATGATTGCAATTTATTTTCCTTTCTTGTCATCTTTTGAGTTATTTAGTACTTTCTGTGATTCCATTTTACCTCCTTTACTAACCACAGTTCTTTGTTATTAGTGGGATTATTCTAGAGCTTGTAGTATGCCTCTTTAACTTTCCACTGAGTACTGTTAAGTAATATTGTACCCTTCAATATACCAAGTTTTAAAATAGCATACTCTGGTTCCTTCTCTTGGCTGCATGAGTGTATGTGTATGTTAAAATAGTATGATATAAAAATTGACCATTTTAACCATTTTTAAGCATATAATCCAGTGGCATTAAGTACATTCTCAGTATTATTTAACTATCACTATTATCTATTTTTCAAACTTGAAATAGAAATTGTGTAACCAGTAACAACTCACTCCCACAGTATCTGCTTACTTTCAGTCTGATAGTCTTTTAATTGTCATGTTCAGACCATTCATTTAATGTGATTATTTATATGTTTGATTAAACTGTATCATCTTGCTATTTTCTACTTTTTTTTTTCTTTTACTGTTTCTTGGGTTGAGAATTTTTATCATTTTTTATCTCCACTGTTTTTTAATTTTTGCAATGGTGGAGTTCAAACCCATGGCCTTGTACATGCTAGGCAGTCACTCTTCCTCTAAGCTATATGCTCAACCCTAATTCTACTACTGATTTAATATTTATCATACTTTTTTAAAAAGTTAGCAGTTAGCCTTGGGTTTGTAATATACATCTTTAACAAATCAGAGTCTACCTTCACATATTTTTACACTTCTTTACATTTTGTGTAAGGCCTCAGAGTTCACAATCCATTCTTGGCAATGTTATTGTCACATTAATGCATTCCTATTTTTGATAGAGACAGTATCTTTCAGAGCAATAACAGATTTTTTATTGAAAATTTGAATTTATCATTTGTTCCATTTCCAAGAATTTTTTTTTCTTTTTTCTTTTTTCTTTTTTTTTTTTTTTCTTTTTTGAGACAGGGTTTCAGTATACAGCTCAGGCTGGCCTTAAACTCACTTTGTAGAGCAGGCAGGCCTCAAACTTACAGTGATCATCCTGCCTCAGCCTCCCAAGTGCTGGGATTACAGGCGTGCGCCACCATGCCCGGCCATAGAATTTGTGTCTGAGTTTCTGACTGGTATATTCTTTATGACTAAAGAATCTTCATGGGGGTGGAGCAGACAGAAGTGATCACTGATCTGTTGGTAATACATTCTTTCAGTGTTTATCTAAGAAAGTTTATTCTTCATCTTTTAAAAGATTTTCTCCTAGGTATAGATGTATGGGTTGAAAGTGGTATCTTTGTTAAAGATACTGCACCATCATCTTCTGGCCTCCCTGGTTTCCAAGACATCTGCTCTAATTCTTAGCTTTGTTGCTGTGTAAGTGCTGTCTTTGTCTTAGAGGTACAAGGCTCTTAGATGTACTGTTACATTGTTGCTATTGGGTTTTTGCTTCGGTCTTTCTTTTTTTTTCTTTGACTTTAGGATTTTCATGTCTTGTTTTTAGTTTGGATGTGATGTATGTAGGTGCAGGGTTTTTTTTTTTCCTTTTTTTTTGTATTCTCAGATATATCTATAGTTTAATGTCTGAATAATTTTGGAAAATCCTAGGCCATTTCTTCTATCCATTTCCTCTTTTCCTGTAAGGAATAAAAAAGCTTTATGTGTCATAGCTCTTAGATGTACTGTTACATTGTTGGTATTGAGTTTTTGGTTTTGTCACTTAAATTCTGTTTTGCTTTAGTTCAGGTAATTTCTATTGACCTTTTTTTTTTGTTTTTTTTTTTTGTTTGTTTGTTTTTTCTGGTACTGGGAATCAAACTCACGACCTTGCGCTTGCCAGGCAAGAGCTGTACCGCTGAGCTAAATCCCCAGCCCCTTCCACTGACCTATCTTTGAATTTACTCCTCTATTCAGTCTGTCTTTAAGAATATATACTCAGAATAGTCAAGGGCCTCTGCATAAACGTGAGCCCTCTGTACGGAGCAGATGACTATGCCAGAACCCAATGGGTTAGACTGAAACCTTCGATAGCGTATACTAGTCACTTGCGCTGTCAACCCATCCCATGCTCTTCACTTTATTTTGCAATATAGCTGAGAAGTGAAAAACCTGGGAGGAAAACCATTTGTAACATGGGAAGGAGACAGCTCTTACCCTGATACCTTTTCTGGAGGAAAAAAACTGCAGGGTGAGCCAAGCAGATATGGAGAAAAGTCCTTAGTAGTTTTATCCTTGGGAAGTCCTGCACCTATGTAGTACTTGCTTTGACTTAGCTATTTATGGTCCCTACTTTTGGTCTTTTTTTTACCCCTGACCAGGACAAATAGGCTCAATTAAAGAAGGTAGATACAAGTTATCTCTGCTAAAACTTAACTACCGTGTGTAAAAAGTAGGACTGTTAGTATATGCGGGGACTGGGAATTATTTTATTAGTTAACACTGATATTTTCTTTGGAGTAGGAAGCTGAACCATCTATCTCCAGAAATGTCTTCAGAAAGTAAAGAGCAACTTGATCTTTCACCAAGGGACTCAGCTAAAGGAAATGACAGTCTTCCATCTGGGGTCTCTCTGGAGACACAAGAGGAATCGAGTACTGACTTCAAGCAAGTTGAAACCAATGAGCAATGCAGACCTTATCCTAGGATACATTTGGAGCCTCAAGAGAAATCAAATACTAACATTAAGCACTTTGTCATAAAAAAGCTACAGAAGAGTTGCCAGTGTAGCTCAACCAAAGCCAAAAATACAATTTTTGATTTCTTTCCTGTTTTGCAGTGGTTCCCAAAATATGATCTAAAGAAAAACATTTTAGGAGATATGATGTCTGGTTTGATTGTGGGTATCTTATTGGTTCCCCAGTCCATTGCTTATTCCCTCTTGGCTGGCCAAGATCCTATCTATGGTCTGTACACATCTTTTTTTGCCAGCATCATTTACTTTATATTTGGTACTTCTCGTCACATCTCTGTGGGCATTTTTGGAATACTGTGCCTTATGATTGGTGAGGTAGTTGACCGAGAACTACACAAAGCTGGCTGTGACACTGCCGATGTTACTCCTTTTTTAGGAATTGTTTCAAGTGGGAGCTTATTAGTAAACCACACATCAGACAGGTTATGTGACAAAAGTTCCTATGCAATTAAAATTGGAAGCACTGTAACCTTTATGGCTGGAGTTTATCAGGTAAGAAATGGTGGAACAATTGGTTATTTCTAACAGAAGTAATCACTATACATGAAATCTTAGATCTTTTAGAGATGGTAGAGATCATAATACTTAAAGGTATCATTTACTGAGCTCTCAGGATATATGAGTACTAGAGCGAGAATTCAAACTTTGGGCTCTACAAGTAAGATAGTCTGATTTTCCTAGGCTGCCTCTTAACCAAGGACTGTCAGACAGCCAAGTTTTTATTATTTTGTTATAAAAATTTAGATCAGAAAAGGTCCTGGAGACCATCAAGTACAACTCCTTAATTTTATATGTTAAATTCCTTAATTTTTAGGGAGTATAGCTTGAAATTATGTATGGTTAGTTACTGGCAGTCTGCTTGCATAGTCAGGCAAGAGGGTAACAGAATGGGGAGTGGCAGAAAGTAAGGAGAGGAACAATACAGAAATTTTTTAAGTTATAGATGCTCATATCTTCCTTTAGAATTCACTGCTCTAGTGAGTGACTCTTCCAAAAGATAGTATTTCTCTTAGATTGTTGGCAAGAAATGGAAAAGGTTAAGGGCCACTATTCCATAGTCTCAGACAGGAGAAAATACTAGAAATGAAATTCTTCTTAGATCTACTGTAGGATCCGCTAACGTGCTATTATCATCATGCCCCTGCCTTTTAACATCCAGCACCAGCATTAAACCTCTTCTTTATAGCAGTCATTTGGATCTAGCAAAGGAACAAAGCCAAGCATCATGGCATATGCCTGATCCCAGTACTCTGGGAGGCTGAGGCAGGAGAACCACAGGTTCAAGCCCAGCCTCGGCAACTTAGCAAATCCTGTCTAAATAAATAGATGAAAAGGGCTGGAGATGTAGCTCAATGAAAATGCACTAGGTTCAGTCCCCAGTTTAAAAAAATGATATCTTTTTCTTATCAGTTACAACAATGACTTCTGCTTTACAGGAAAAAAAAATTTTTTTAATTAGAATTCTTACAATTTGAGTTTTTGTTTTCATATGGGTCCTTGAGAATTTTCTTTTGGAAAAGAAAGTGTAAGAAACATTGTTTGAGAAGGCAGAAATCCTCAGTTCTAGTTTTAGCTGGTTAGTGATAAACAGTGTGACCTTGGGCAAGTTTTCTCTCCTCACAGAGTGAAAAGATTGATTTTTTTTTTAACTTCATTTATTTTTTTATCTGACATTTATATCTAACACTTGTATATCCTCCTTCTAGGTAGTGATGGGCTTCTTTCAAGTGGGCTTTGTTTCTGTCTACCTCTCAGATGCCTTGCTGAGTGGATTTGTCACTGGCGCCTCCTTCACTGTTCTCACATCTCAGGCCAAGTATCTTCTTGGGCTCAGCCTTCCACGGACTCATGGCGTGGGCTCACTCATCACTACCTGGATACATATCTTCCGAAACATCCATAAGACCAATCTCTGTGATCTCATCACCAGCCTTTTGTGCTTTTTGGTACTTTTGCCAACCAAAGAACTCAATGAGCACTTCAAATCCCGGCTCAAGGCACCAATTCCTATTGAACTTATTGTTGTCGTGGCAGCCACAATGGCCTCTCATTTTGGAAAACTACAGGAGAAGTACAATTCCAGCGTTGCTGGACATATTCCCACTGGGTTTCTGCCACCCGAAGCACCAGACTGGAGCCTAGTGCCTACCGTGGCTGTGGATGCAATAGCCATTTCTATCATTGGCTTTGCTACCACTGTATCACTTTCTGAGATGTTTGCCAAGAAACATGGGTACACAGTCAGAGCAAATCAGGAGATGTATGCCATTGGCTTTTGCAATATTATCCCTTCGTTCTTCCATTGCATTACTACTAGCGCAGCTCTTGCAAAGACACTGGTTAAAGAATCAACAGGCTGTCAAACTCAGGTTTCTGCTGTGATGACAGCCCTGGTTCTTTTGTTGGTTCTCCTGGTAATAGCTCCTTTATTCTATTCCTTACAGAAATGTGTCCTTGGTGTGATCACTATTGTAAATCTCCGGGGAGCCCTTCATAAATTTAGAGATCTGCCCAGTATGTGGAGGGTTAGCAGAATGGATACGCTTATTTGGTTTGTTACCATGCTGTCCTCCGCTCTGATAAGCACTGAAATAGGCCTGCTTATTGGGGTTTGTTTTTCTATGTTTTGTGTTATTCTTCGCACTCAGAAGCCAAAGGTTTCATTGCTTGGCTTGGTGGAAGAGTCTGAACTCTTTGAATCCCTGTCTGCTTACAAGAACCTTCAGACCAAGCCAGGCATCAAGATTGTCCGCTTCATAGCCCCTCTCTACTACATAAACAAAGAATGCTTTAAATCTGCTTTATATAAAAATACTCTAAACCCAGTTTTGGTAAAGGCTGCTCAGAAGAAGGTAGCCAAGAGAAAGCTCAAAGAGCAAAGAATCACTCTTGGAGTACAGGATGATGTTTCAGTGCAACTTTCCCATGATCCTTTGGAGCTACATACTGTAGTGATTGACTGCAGTGCAATACCCTTTTTAGATACAGCAGGGATCCATACACTGAAAGAAGTTCGCAGAGATTATGAAGCCATTGGCATTCAGCTTCTGCTGGCTCAATGCAATCCTTCTGTGAGGGATTCCCTGACTAGGGGACAATACTGCAAAGAGGAAGAACAAAACCTTCTCTTCTATAGTGTATATGAAGCAGTGGCTTTTGCAGTGGAATATGAGAAAGGAACATGTGTTCTCAATGGTCTGCGTCGTTCCAGTGATTGAGAAAACAGATGAAAAGAAGAGTGTCTCATCAGTAGGTTAAAGTTTCAGATGTACAGTATTTCTCTTCCTTGGAAGCTTATGGCCTTTTCATGTTCTCAAATGCAGCAAAGCTTATGTAATAAGGCAGAATTAAAAAGAAGAAAATGTGGTTTTAAGCTTTCATGCATGTCTGAAGTATTCTTGGGACGTAATAACTAGTGAATTGAGTTGTAAAGTGGCTCCCAAATGTAATTACCACCTTGTTTTAGGGTGGACTTTTCCTCCTCCAGAATCACTGGAGCCTTTGCCTGACTGTGGAGGGGAAGTAGGCAAGGAGTATATTGTACTTGCTTCTCTTGTATCAGCAGGTTAAGAGGCTTTTGGGACATGAAATCCTAACTACAAGTTTGTTGTATGCTTCTCTAGCCCCAGTATTTGCTCCTGAGACAGCAGTAGGACTCTGCCTTTTAAGTAGGAAATCGGTCCATTTCTCTCCTCCTTAAGATAGGGAACGATGGACACAGTCTGATGGCTGGCAGGTTAGTGACACACTGTATCACAGCCAGCCTGACATTAAAAGTGCCCTTTATGATAAATTGGATGTTGCAGTTACAATGTTTTTTATGTAGGGCAAGTAAGTGAACAAATAATTCTTCAAAATGAGAAAATACAGTGGTAGTCCTCTCTGTCTTTTCTGTGATCACTATTTGTGTTTGTTTCTGAGACAAGCACCATCACCATTAGCTGTTTGTTTTAGCTGTCAGTTGTCCTACTGTGTTTTCCCATGGAATCTGTCCTAAACTAGCATTTCTGCTATCAGTGACAGTTACCAAAGTAGGATGCTGACTCAGCAATTTAAAGCAACCTTTTAAATACGCTTGAAGCAAGCCGTCAAGGACACTGCAAAGAAGGAATGATTTACATTGTAAGAATGAGTTTACTAGGCAGTAAATTGTATACACCCCAACCTCTGCAACTTCCCATGGCATTTTAACAAGGGTCTTTGAGGACTGGAGGACTGGCAGATTTTCTCAAACAGAAGCTGCTCTTCATGGGAAAAAAACACACAGAAGTGATAGAGTACTTCCAAAAGGACAGCAATAGTTTTTAGCTGTTTTAGTGAAAACAGTGCTGATGCATACTGCCATGCACCCTATTAATGTACAGTAAATGTTGATAACGATAGCTTTTAACTCTTCATGTTACCTAAAGCTGTTACTAAGATTTAGAAGCATCACATTCTTAAAGCCAAGTTCTCTGGGCGTATTTATGATAGCTGGCCATAGGTTGTGAATTGAAGGTTGTTTCTTTGGAAAAAGAAGAATATCTGACATTGAAAGCTCATAGTTCTGTATTTGGACCTTGGCAGGCAAAAAAAAAAAAAAAAAAGTTTTCCAAAGAATAATGGACTAATTTATATGAGATTAAAACATCTAGCCAAGTCTTTTAAAACAAACAAAATGATGGTTGCTAAAGTATAAACTCATTTTCTAATCCTGCTCTTATATTCTAAACAATTTTAAATATAATAACCCCTATATGTAGGGTATACTACATATGGACATATTTAATGTATATGTATATATACTTTTTGTTAACTCTGTTAACTGCCAGTGTTGCTTTTCTATTCATAAATCTCTCCCATTTGCTTACATGGAAAATACCTATTATTCCAACAAAACAATTTCTGTGTTTCTATCTTCTAGACAATTGATGTTATTATATGAAATATAGTCCTGAATTCTGACATACTTTTATTATTCAGTTCTAGAATTTTAGAATTTCAGAAATGTCAGTGCTGCTTATATTTGTGCTTTTTAGTTTGTTTCTAGTGTTTGCCATTTCTGTTGAATCTTAGGAATATTAGTTATAAAACCACAATATCTTGGTCTTCATTTCTTTTTTTTTTCCCCAAGTCAAGTTTGAGTTGAGACTATTATAGATATCTAATAATTGACAGAGTAATAAGCTCATGTTTAAGACAACTCTATAGTTTATCCAACATCACCATAACAAAAGAATTTGAGGCCAGTCAGTATTTGGAAAATCTCTTAGAAGGATGGATAACAAGATTTGCCCTTTACCTGATATTTCCATCCACATGTAGATACAGACAATTCTGGAACTTTATGTGTGCAGTAAGCAAATTCTTGAATTATGTTCTGGTTTGTACCTGTCCCACTCAAATGAGATTCTGCTTTTAGTAGCCATTTGTAAAATCATCTTTTGTTTTTTGAGACTGGGTTGCTCTGTAGTTCAGGCTGGCCTTGAACTTGAAGCAATCCTCCTACCTTAGAGGTAGTGTACCACCACAACCAGCTTGTAAAAACATCTTAAAGTTTCACTACAATTTATATTTTATCCTCTCTACTTGAATTGCATTCTGCCTATATTTGTACTTTCTAAATTTTAGGGGTGTGGAGGTGTATGTGTCTGTGTGGTACTGGGCATTGAATCCAGTGCTTTGCACATGCGTGGCAAGCTCTCTACCACTGAGCTACATCCTCAGCTCTTAAGACAGGGCCCCACCGAATTGCCCAGGCTGGCCTCGAACTTATGAACCTGCCTTAGCCTACCAAATAGCTGGGGAAACTGCACTTTTTGGTATTGCAGGTATATGCCATCGCACTTAGCTTTTAAAAATTTTTTGATTGTTGATAATTTAAAGCAATCAAACCTTTAAAACAAGATTCAGTGCCACCACCAAAATCAATGTTTTGTTTGCTTTCTTGATACTTTAAACGTGATAGCGATACAAAAACATCTTGCTTACTCTAAAGGTGAGAGTCTAAGTGAAGCATTTTCTCATTGGTTATTGATGAAGATACAGAATTCGGAGTATCTTAAAATGGTTTTCATTTAATTAAAATATAATGTGTACTGTCTTGAAAGTTAAAGCTCTTACAAACGTATTTTTAATTTGTTACAACAGGAGGGGTGGAGTGAGCCAGTGCAGTTAGGTGCGTGCAAGGAGAACGTGTAGAAGAGTGAAAGGAGTAAAGTCATTGTTAGGACTATATCTGGCCAGTGACGGGATCCAGATGAATAGGAACCGATTCCTGGCTCCACAACAGTGAGATCAGTATTAGGAAGAAAACCTCTGAGAGCAAGTTTCTGTTTCTAGAAGGGGAAAGTCACAGATTCACCAGAGCTGAAAGCTGAGAAGCACGTGGTCAGGTTGTGGCAAAAGCCTGAGTTGGCCTACTTTGGAACAGTGGGTCTTCCCTAAACTTAAATTGATCTTTTATAAGGAAAACAAGGTATGATTTAGACGGTCTGACTTAGCTTTTAAGTAGCAGACATTGATGTCAAAATTGGTGATTAAATTTACAGAGTGGTAAGTGGTGAAATTTTTAAAACTCTATGGAGGTGTTAGGTGTATTCATTAGAATATTTTAATGCTAATGACTACACTTTAACAAGACCAGTAAATCTCTCCAGGGTTGTTCTCTTAGTAATTTCTCATTTAAGAACACATTGTCAAAGTTAGACCTGATCTCAATATAAAAGTAAGAAAAGGGATACAGTGCATTTCTTGGAAACTTAAGTTGAATCTCTGAGTTGTAATAATAAACTCAAGCTCTGCAACCCTTATCGTTTCCCTCTGTTACTAGAACTGTAGGTTCTTTGCATCAACGTAGATGTTACCTCAGATAGTTCTGACCATTCCAGGAGTCAGGTACCAAATATGTAATATGCTGGGGCGCTGAAGGAGGTGCTTTGTAGCGAGTATGAACAGGCCTGGCTGAAGGCTGAGCAAGAGGCAGAGATGCTGCAGGTCTATTCAGGGAAAGAAAAGTTCCCACGGTACAATGATAAAAACCCACTTGACAGGGTTTAGCTTTTGCGTAACTTTTCTGTTGTTAGTGTTTTTCCCCACCTAAATTTTGATTTATTCTAGTGATGCTTTATTTAAAATAGAGCTTTTTTTTTTTTTTTTTCTTGTTTTTGTCTTTTTGAGATGGTCTCGCTATGCAGTTCAGGCTGGCCTTGAGCTCACTTTGTAGCCCAGGCTGGTCTCAAACTCAGAACAATCCTCCTGCCTCAGCCTCCCAAGTGCTGGGATTACAGGTGTGCGCCACCATGGCTGGCTAAAATAGAGCTTAACAACTGTAAAAAGGGTGAAATAGGATCTAGAATGCTATTAGACTCAGAACTAATTTGCGCCCCCCTTTTGTGTAATGTTTTCAACTAATCATGAATCAAATTTAGGTGCTAATTATAACAATGAAAATTAATGGAACAGCTCAAAATAATATACAGTACCAGCTGCTTTGTTATGATAGCCTATGTATTGAAGTATATAAGGCTTTAAAAATTACTAACTTAGGAATGGAGAATTTAAATGTAGGAACAAAGAAGATTTATTTTTATAAGATAATTTTTATCCTGATAAGGACTTTTTTAAAAAAAATTTACTTAACAGCTGAAATTTTAAACATGTTAAATACATTAGAGAAAAAGCATACTAAATTAGTAGATTCTTTGGTATGTGTTTTGTTTTTTAATAGTAGTATAAAATAGGAAGAATACTGAATTCTGAAGATGATAATAAAGGTCAACAAATGCTTTTATTAAAGATGCTATTTATGTTAAGTCTGCAGAGAGGCCACCAAGTTTTTATCTGAAGCTTTAATAAACTTACTTGGGGGAAGTTCTCTTCCCTACTCTACTGTATCCCTAAAATAAGATACCTGGAATCAAGTAGCTGTTGCCTTAAAGTAAGTGCCTCAACGTTAATCATAAAACATAGCTTGACTACCTTACGGGACAAGGATGAATTGCTGAAACCTTATGGTCTATTGAAGGGAAGTTGTTGAACAATAGATCTTTTTTTTCTGGAAGGGTTTATTTGTTTTTCCAATTATATAAGAGCCTGTATGTGTGTTGAGATCTTACTATCTGCTAATAAATTGTTACTCTAACAAAATACTATGGTGTCTAAATTTATCTTAGTGGAAGGGAGAGTCTAAGAAACACATGGTGAGTTTTAAAATGCCATCTCCTTAAATTTGGAGAGTGATTCATGCATTTTTCTCACCCATAACAAAGGCTTTTGTCCCCATAGAAAGATATAAAGAAACCCAGTTCTTTTCCTTTGGGGGGACTCAGTTTTTCTGTCAGTGAAGAGCGGAGGAGACTAGATTGCTCAAGAACCCTTCCAGTTCTTACCCTGCATGATTCCTATTTTATAACAGGCGAGAATCACACAATGTAAATCTGGTTCATGTTTTACATGACCTTTGCGCCCTTTTTTATCAACAGTGGACTGTGGCTGGCACCTTACGATGACTAAGTAGGAGGATTGGGAGCCACGTTTCTAGCTGAAGCACACTTCATGAAGGATAATCTGTCCCACTGCCTTCTCCCTGGGAGGCACTCTACTTTATGCCACTCGGCTTGGAAAAAGAACCTGGGCAAGGAGCTCAGAACAGGATTTAGTCCCCTTGCAGTAACTTGGGCATTCTGCCCTCATCCTACTCCTACCCAACAATAAAAGTTAGATTGAATAGTCTTAACACTCTACCCTCCCTGGCTGCACAGAGTACCTGCTCTATAGGTATTTAGGTACTCTGGGGACTGAACCCAGCGTCCTTAGACTGAGTTACATCACAACCTTTTTTTATTTTTAAATTTTGAGTCAAGGTCTCACTAAATAGCCCAGGTTGGGTTTGACTGTCCAGTTCTGCCTCTGCAGAGATTACAAGTATGTACTGCCACACCTGGCTAGCACCTGGCATATTGAGCCCTGGGAATTGCATTCTCAGTCATTCTCTAGCATATCCTTCAGCCAGCTGGGAGGGCTTTGCTTCCTCATCTACTTGATGAAAATATGGCTCTTCTTG